AGCTGTTAAGATGTCAACGTGTACCAGTCTTCGCAAAGATGGCTCTACTTAATTTGTAGAAGTGCCTGTAAAACAGCCACGTTAAACACCTTCCAGAATGTAAAACTTCCATGCTTTCTGCCCGAAAGGCAGCAAGCACCGGCCTTTCAAAAGCCATCTTTAAAATGAAGAAAGAGATAATAGGAAAGTCCCTTAAAGCGTTTAATATCCTCGGTTACAAGCCTTGAGAACTCGTCCAGTTTTACACCACTAAGATGGGTTATTTTCACCACTAAGATGGTTTATTTTCCTTTGTTTCCAAACTACAGTTCTACTCCCGCACTAGCAGTTCTGCAGCATCAGGACCGCACATACTAAAAGGAGATGTATACAATCTAATTTACACTGTTCATTAAATAAAATCATTTCTTAATTGAGAATACTCTTTTAATCCAGGAGAAGCACTGGAGAAGCCTCACACACTGGGCCTAACCTCCTCTGCAGCATCCCCGTAGGGAATGCGATATTTAACACGTACACACCCACCCCAAACAGTACACTCTCCAAGAAGAAAGTCAAATGCATGACAGGAGGGGCTTTGAAAAGGTAGGAAGGCAAAAAGATCCTTAAGATCTGCCTAAAAATAGCTAAATAGTGCAGTGAAAATGCTTTTAAATAACCACAGACACCTCCATTGACGGGCAGCCAGTTTTATGAGCAGTTCTGACGACAATTTCTAGCTGAGCTTCAGTGAACTGGGCGTCCCCAGCTGGAGTCCCGAGAGGTGAGCCTGGCCTACCACCAGCACGGCCAGTTTCAGGATGGGAGCAGGGCATTCCGGTTTTCATTTGCCCCTCTTGCCACGGCCTCTCCTGGAAGAAGGTTTGCCCGTTCCCCCTGCGGAGGAGCTGGCGGAAGATGCCACTGCAATGTTGATCTGTCCTTCCTGAATCTCCTGTCGGGTCTCAGCTGGGAGGTGATTGATTTTCTGTTGTGTCTCTAAGTAGAACATGACATCCCGCAACTGCTCCTGGATCTCGGAGATCTGCAGGTCCTTCTGTTCGCAGGTTTCCTTTAGCACTCTCTCCTCCTCCTTTAGTTTGTTCTGAAGCAAGGCTTGATTCGCTCGCAAACACTTATTCAGTTCTTGCTCCTCCTTCAGCTCGTTGGAAAGTTTCGCCACTTTGTTATTCAGCTGAGAACACCTTCCAAATAGAAGCACAAGTCAGGAAAGCGGTGCGCTATACCAAGATCAAACACTACTGCATCCTTTTTATTTCCAATCCCTTAGGGCAACTGACCCCCAGGTGTCCTCAGCCCCACCAAGACCACCTGGAACGTGCTTTTCTGGCAAAAGGTGGGCAAGGGGAGGCAATACAAGACGACTCTGAAATCCCCCCAGGATTTTCCACCCGGCCTAAGGCTTGCTAGCACCTGCTTGTCTGTAGGGTGTTACCTGCATATGGAATAGGATGCTGTGAAGTAGAATCCCTTCCTTTTGTCCCTCAAACTGCATAACCTGGGAGAATCCTTTCCCTTGCAAGGTGAACGATTCCATCTCGTACCAAAGGCCAACAGAGGCAACAGGCGGGGGGGTGTGTGGGAGCGTGGGACTGTAACCTCGAACACACATCTGCAGCTCACGAAACAGGCGCCAAAAAGGGCACAGAGATTACACGGGTTCCTTTGAGAGCTAAGGGCAGTCAAGGACTCCCAGACGGTGGCTCCCACCCCGCTCCAAGTACAAGACCCTGAAGATACCACTTCACTCGGAAGCGAGATGCTCCCACAAGGACACCAGTAACCTCACGTTTCACAGCCAGCGCTTCCCCGCTCCTAACAACTCAAGTGCTGTTGCCCTGAGCGTTTGCTGGCATCATACAGACTCGCTGCCACTCAGCAAGGTGAGCCGCGTGAACCACAGCGCACCAGCACAACCAGGACTGCTGGAGGGGCAGCGGTGCCGGGGGCCCGGTGGGCCGGGAGGAGCAGAGCAGAGCCGGCAATCCCACCCCGGGGGCTGGAACACGCTGATCTGCACCGTTCCCCGTGCTGGATGTCTTTCATCTAGGCACTTCCTAAGATCTACATTTCTGTCTGCGCTGGGTGGGATGCCCCTGTTGAGCTGCCTTTCTTCTCTTAAGATGGATCCGCCAATTGCAAAACAGACCGGCGTCTCCTTCTGAGCAGGCAGAGAGGAAGGATTACAGAATGCTAAATATGCAGACCATGTAAAAAGAGCCAAGAGCCCAAAAGCTGCGTTCCGCTCAACAGGCGCTTTCAAGTTGTGAACACCTACAGAAACGAGAGCTTTTTTTTTTTTAAAAATAAGCCGCGTTCTCAGTATACCAGTTTAAATAGCTCCAAATTGCCCAAGAATAGCAAGATTTTTTTCTCTTTGGATGTCAGTGCACGGAGTTTTAATGGCTGCATGGAACTAAACCTGGCAGCGGTACCCACTTCCTTTCGACAGACTGCTTTTCTTTGAGCAAGTCATTCAGCCTCTGTTCCAGACTGTCACACTTCTCAATGGTCTCTTTAAATTTGGTCTTCATGTTGTTAATCTGTAGAAACAAACACACAGGCATTTCAAAGCGATCAAAGTCCTCTGCGCTTTCATTATGACATTCAATTTTTCTGCAGTGGTTTCTAGACTTTGACCAATTACTATATGCAGATAAGCAAAAAAAAAAAAAAAAAAAAGAAAAAAAGAAGGCTTAATTTTGATGAAGACCCCCTGCATTACACCTCGCAGTACCCCAACGAGGAACCACGTTGCCGTGGAAGCTGCTCACACAGAACAGCAACTCAGGCTGCAAGTCTGTGCCAGGCACCCCATTCACACAAAAGCTGCAACAGATCCTTAACTTCTTATTGACTGCAGTTCAGCACTCATTTAGCCATTCTCTCAGACTTTTTTTTGTACCTGTCAGCAAACTTAAATTTCCATCTTAAGGCTTTACAACGCCGGGCTTTTTTTTTTTTTTCCTCAATTTAAATTAAACCTCAAATAAGTATGGTCAAAGTCTGAAAATTAACGCGCTACTTTGCTCGGCACTGACTCAGCAGCTTGCTGTCATAAGGCGGTGACCTACTGACACAAAAATCTTACTCGTGCTAAACGCAAACTGAAACACGCGTACATTGGCTTCCTCTTCCCCTCTACTTCACGACTGCTGCTGCTGAAGAAAACCAAGCTCTCGTTCTCTAGGCACTGCACAGAACACATCAAAACCTCCACCATCAGCCTTACGGGAGATTTATAGACAGAAATACTTGTTTCCTCTCCATTAGTGTCAAAAGCATGCTTGCATGCAGTGGAGGCAGGAATTTAAAGGAAAAATGCTTTCCTGGAGGAGCAATCTGGATAAATGTCAGTGTCAGCACACATGGTGCCTTCACTGATGCCAGAGTCAATGCAGAGCAGGTTTTAAGCCTTCCGGCGTTAATCAGTGAATGTTTATGCAGCTGATGGTTAATTTGGGGAAGTAGCCTGAGCACTGATAATGGAGTACACTGCAGAGTGGCACTGATCCAGGCAAGACTTACATGGAGCCAATGGCACGAGTAAAATTGTAAGGATCTTTAAACACGAAACCACATTTGGGGCACGTATCACGGTCGTTTCACTTTGAAGTTGCTTTGTGGATCATGTTTCCTGGTCACATGCAAGACGATTTTTGCTATAGCTTTTCCTTGTATAGGGCCCTCCATAAGATTTCTGGGACTGTTCTTCAGACCAAGGTCAATGACACTATTTCAACAGTCATAATTTCTACATTTACAATGCTACTTAACTGCCGATACTAAACGGTTAATTAAAAGTCATGCAGAAAGTTCAGTTAAGGACTCAACCCTAAATCTTGACTCACTTTAAACCTAGCTGAAAGGATCTACGTAGAGTGAAAAGCATTAAAATATTCTCAGTGGACTCCTGCTCATGACATTTTGAAGCAGTCCTGCCTACAGAATGCTGTATAGGAGGAGACTGAACTTTTCCCAAAGGGTGATGAGGAGAGATAGGGGATCAAAAAGAAAGGGCAAATCAATATGCATTTGGAGCAGAAAGGCAGCTTCCACTTTCTGCAGCCGAGCAAATTAAAGTCATATTGTCTATGCTACACTAACCTTCCCCAGAGATACACGTCAGTGCGAGACGGATGGCATCGGCAAGCAGAGATCCTGCAGCAGCACGGACTTGTTTTCACCACTGCTGCAGTCTCCTGAGCAGCACATTTAAATCAACCTTCAATCTAGGTGGCAATCTACCTACTTCTGCACCACTGAGCAGCAAATTGCAAGATCTGAGCAGGGAGATAAGGGATACGTCTTGGAGCCAATTTTCTCAGCTGGTAGCGAAACAGGCTATGCGAGGCCGCGTCACGCAACATTCGGGCTGTATGACAGACCCAACAGCTCCATCTCCCATTTAACTTAACAGCGTCCAGGGCTTGTTTCAGCAGAGTTTCACACATGCCCAGAGCAGAGCTCACCTCTTCAGCCGTATCCTTTTCTATACGGACAATCTTGTTTTCCCAATAGATCCGCTGCGATTCCAGCTGGCTTGTTAGCAAATACGAGTACTATAAACACAGAAGATATACAGAGAACAGTCAGCTTTTCCATAAAAGCTGATTAAGAAGCCCAAAGGGCTCCAATATACAAATCAATTTAATCAGGTAAAGTTGAGCGTACAGGACATTCTGCGCATACGTGCAAACTGCAGATCCAGCAGATGTGTTTCACCAATTTGATTTCAAAATCAAATCACTTGATTTTTTTTGTAGTCAAAGAAAGCCTTTAGAGCACAACAGCAAGGATCAAGTAAAAGTTCCGCCAAGCCATACCCAGTACCATGCCAAGAACTTTTTAAAGATGAGACAGATTTTTCATTGTAGTAGCAATACATCTCTACAAGTTTTGCACTCCACAGAAAAATGAAGAATCAACCATCCCTGTCACGAGAGTCTGAGACCCCCAAGATTGCAGAGTTCCCTATTCACAGCCCAAAACCCAAGGCAGAAGGCTAACCGCACATATCTAGCTTCACTGTAAGAACATCTCTGGGAAAACATCCTCAGCTGTGTAAACTATTCACAGTTATTGTTCTCCAACAAGTATGGCCCATTCCAATGTTATTTTGGCATCTGAACAAGGCTATATGCTTACGTCCCATCTTTTCCCTCCTGCTTCTGCAAATGAGTTATGAGAAGGTTGGAAAACGTGATCATTTCTTATCATCAGGATAATAAGCACTAAATTAGGCATTCAAAACAGAATTAGACATGCGCAAAAAGCCTTGAACAATCTCAGTAATATAAGAGCACCAAAATGCACTGACAAATTAATTCTGTCTAGAAACATTTAGATCTCGTAAGTCAGATAGAGACGTCTTAACGCACTTTAAGTGCCAACCTCGCAGAAAAAAAGGGTTAAAAATATCTGTTTCAGCATCTAAGTCTTACTCAGAAAATTCATGGAAAAGCAACCAAATATTTATTTGAGCAATAAGCTTACAAAGTCTGGTCTCTCTGGGCTGTTCCTCCTCAGATACCCTTGCGTCTAATGCGGCTGAAATCATGCTGCAGTATATCTGCTCAGCAGAGCAGTAATTTTGAGTTTCTCGCCTCTACCCTTCTAGTTAGGATAGGAGAAGCTGGCCAACAGGTACAAAATAAACATTATCTGTTCAAGAGAAGGGAGCAGAACAGGGCTGGTATCAGAAAAGCCTGACAGCTTTCTTTGATAGCCAAGGTAAGCACACAGCCATGGATTCCTACGTACTTGCTCAGTTTACAGGCTAAACTACTCGAATTGACAGTTTATGCCATAGACATCATGTCTCCTAAGCCGAGTCACAGACCTACTAGGGTGGGTCTGGCGAGTGACTCGGGGCATTCTCATGGGCATTTCTCTTTCCAATGAGCTGAGTGTTTGTAGCAGCGTAACCAGCTAATCTTCAATCTACCAGTGCACACAGGACGAAACTGCAGCCCGCTTACGCTTAGCTGCATTGGCTCTGCAGAGCCAAGACGACAGGTTTTTTTTTTAAAAAAAAAAAACAAACACAAACCACCAAAAAAAATACCAGCAGTAAAAGCATCCTGCTTCTGCCTGAAGATGATTGCCTACATGCAGGGAGCAGGTCTGCTGCATAAGCTGATGTAATTTTCCCGTAGTCATATCTGGATTTGAAACACTTCCACACAGCAGCACAATGCAGAGTCCAACAAAGCCAAAAATATTTACCTCTAATTGCAAGGCATCTATTTTCTCTTCCTGACACATATCTCCCTCGCACTCATACTGAACTATCTTCCCATCGGTTTTACTTGCAACCAGTCGATGGACGTAGTTATCTGAAGAGAGAAAATTCAACCACAGGGAGTTTTAGCTTAAGAACACCCAGGCTGACACCAGTAGAAATACTTTATGCAGCACAATTAACCATGCAGACTGCTGCAACAGCATATTAGCAAGGCAGAAAGCCAACAACAGATGTATTTGTTATTTAGCAGACTTCACACAGACACCTTACAGGATATTTATTACAACAGCCCATTCCCATACCTCAGGGCAAATTGATGGAAAGGGAGTAACAAACACGTTCCACAGAGACTACAGGACCGCCCCAGTTCATTACAGAATCGTGTTCTCCCTCCTCCATCTGCTACAGACCCATGAAAACTGCTATTAGAGTGGAGATAGATGTTCCCAAAAGACAAGGTATTAGTACAGATGCGAACCCCTTAATCTCCAAGCAAACTCCACCGCAAGTACTCTTACTAAAGGGTCCCAAAAGCTGTTTTACGAACAAGGTCATCCTACAAAAGGAGAAGACAGGGTACTTACCTCCAGCGTAGTCCCAGACTCTGTGGTTGGTCAGCTGCATTGCGTAGGTGTGCTGGGTCTCCTCAAAGTGTTTGTAAGCGTGTCGACTCACGTACCGGCCACAGCCTATGTGCCCACATATTAAGCAGATCCAAAGGTTCTGTCAACAGAATGAGAAAGCTCAGTACATACAACGCTGCCAGACGGTGGTATCAGCGCTTTGAGAAAGCGTGATCTGACACCGATGGCCTGCTGATGCTGTGTACATCCCGTCGCTTCCTTAGAAAGCAAACAGTGTTTGATTTTCCCCCTCCTTCTTTGAAGCCTTGCTCAGCTGGAAGGCTAAAGAGAAGGAGGCACCTGCGCATTCAAGCCAATTACAAGCCTGCAGGTGCTGGGCAGGCTGGTAGATTACCACAAGCATGGATGGAAGAATGGCCTCAACTAACGAATGAATCAGGCACCTCGGCAAAAAGCAAGCTCTGAAGAGCGCAGGCTAGAAGGGACCACCAGGTTCAGCATTAGCGTATCTGCCTCCTATCACACTCATCATGCACACTCTGATCGGCTTATATGCTAATACTTCTTTCTAAGGATCAGAAACATTTATCAGAACAGAAAACCTGGGAGGTAAGATCCCTTGCCAGTACTGACTCCAACTCAAAAGAAAAGCAGATATACCACTGAGTGGTAAAATCAGCCCAAAAGCAGCCACAGATTTAACCCCAAAAGCAACTAGAGCAGCTGTGCAGTCAGATCCAGTCTAGATCTCACTCACCATCCACCCACCTACTTACTTCTTGAACTCCACACTCAAAACACTTGTTCTCTTCCACTGGCTCAGGCGTTTGGCAGTATCTGCAGACAGGACACCTAGAGGGCAATAAGCATCATGATTAGACACAAGGAGCTCCATCTTAGTATTACGGTAATTAAAAAGAGAGCCAGAGAGCTCAATGCCTTATGCAGTGAGACACTCCTTATGTGCACGCATCTCTCGGCTCACATTTACCCCCCTCAAATTTGCCTCTATTCCACACAAGGCTACTGTTTTTAAAGTCAGTAGGTGACAGAATAACACCGAACAGTTCTTCTGAAGCCATTTCACAGTCTCAGCTTGATCAGGTTTTGCTACAGTCCAGGTGTAGAGAACATCTGCAACCAAAAGCCTCAGTGAGGCTGCCAGCAACCTCAGCCTCTGCCAGTAAGCAAAAAAGCCACAACCGAGCTCTAGAAACACTTCCCTGCCTCAGCCATAAACATCGCAAGAAGCGCTTGTATAGATGCGTTACACATCTCTAAACACTGCTCCTCCAGACTGCTGCCAAGTGACATCTTCAGTTCTCCACTACCTGCAGGGTTTTATACAGCAGGCACACGCTGTTGTGGAAGGATGTTGTAACTACACGCTGCTGAGGACAGCTGAGTAACAGAGGGAGGTACTGACACTTTGCAAACATACCTTAGTACTGAAAACCACCCTAGGGAGATGAGGAGATGCTTCAATCGCACCCCTATGTGACAGATTCAGTCTCAGCCCTTCCAGGAAGAACATCCCATAACTGTACCCTAAAAGAATCAGTAGCAGACCCTCCCGCTATCATTTCTTCTGAAACTATACCACTGTGCTGCCAAAAAGACAGAAGACCAGAAGGAATCTTGTCCAGACCCTAAACGCTAGAAGCTCAGCTAGGGAGCAGGGTAACTGAGGCCACACGTTCTGTTGCCAGGACTGTTTATGTATTTTTCATTAGCTGCTGGATAAGCTACAGAAATATTCAAGGGGAGGAGACAATTGGATTGCAGTCAGCTTTCTATACAAATTCAGGCACTTACAGCCTCCGTGGCGCCTAAGCAAAGTGGACAGGGATTTTCTTTTATCGTTCCTCTAGACTGGGAACATAAGTTCTGCTTAAATTGTATATTAGATATTTAAGTGCTATTTTGGATCTTGCTCCTACACTGGCTAAGCTCCACTGCCTCAAATTTAAACTGGTTTTGACTTATGGAGCAAAGCAGCCCATAAACTTGAATAGCTACAGATCTAATTAATCTCACCGAGGTTCTGTTACTTCGCCTTACAAATGATATAGAGAGGGCTAAAATATTCCTCACATTCCATCAGAGAGAGAATCAGGCAGTCAGCGGTACCAGTGACAGAGAAGAAAACACAGTGAAGATCGGCAGCCTTCTGCTGCAGTGTCTGTGGCTGCCTGATGTGCAGTAAAGATGTCCAGAAGACTGCAAAAAACGCACAACTGACAGCAGCTCCTGTGTGCCAGTCGGGGGACTCTGCTGTCAGGAGGTCAGACACACCGAAATCCCCATCTACAGGGATGTGAAGGATGGTAAGAGCAAGAACAGGAAAGGGTTAGCAGTAGCACGAAGAAGAGCTGCTTTAAGGACAGACACGGGTCCAACCCCCAGCACTGCCCAGTGCCACGGAGGGTCTCCCTGAGCCAGTGACACGGCCTCCTGTGACTCAGCCCATGCCCACCTTGAATAACACAGCCTGTCTAGAGCAGCTGCCTCCCCTTCCCGATTTACTGAGTGATCTCGTCATTGTCCCTTCCTTCCCCACATCCCTTCTGTCTCACTTTCCAGTCCTGTCCCGCTGCACACCCGCTCTTGGCCAGCTCTTCTTCATCCTCTCCCAGCATCTAAGACAGCAAGACTGCAGAGCTCCCGAAAGGACTCCAAAGTTCCAGCCAGCTGTGCAGATCTGCGTACAGCGTGGCAGCAGCTGTGCCGAGGGAACAAACGACCAAACAGACACACAACAGAGTGAAACGGGGCTGTGTGTGCATGCAATACTGTTTACTCCAGTATTTTTACCCTGCAATATTTTAAAATAAGCTGCATTACTCTACAACTCCCTTCCTGCCTTAGCAGTGAGGCCCACGGGAAACATCGTTCAATTACTTTTGGCAGGGAGATTTCTCTCTGGGAGTCCCTTAATGGGAAAAAAAAGAGCATTAGAACTTGCAGTAATTCCTGCCCCCGCACTGATGAGTGGAACCAGTCTTGTCAGCACGTAACCACCACACTCAAACAGAGTTTTAGATGTGGAAATAAAGAAAAGCTTCTTACGTGGTGTCCTCCCACCGCTGCAGACACTGGCTGTGAAAGCTGTGGTTACACAGGGTGGTAAGGATCCCGTTCACGGACTCATCCATCCTCTCCAGGCACACCGTGCACTTCGGGAGCTCTGTCAGATCCATCACAGGCAGGCTGGCCCCCTTCAAAAGAACAAGCAGAGACAAATTGCTCAGCACCTTCCAATCATCATAAATTAAGCACCCACGTAAGAAAAAGTCAGACTTCCCTCTCCTTACCCCTGGCACTCAGCTACAAAAACACTACAAAGTAACCCTGTGAGTTACTACACAGCCCTTAAAAATTTACCAAAAAAGAAAGTGATCTACAATGTTCACTAGACCACAGCCAGGATCCTCATCGCAGCTCGGGCTGCATCTGCCACCAGCCCCATTCCGTTTTCTGGATTCACTAGATCTACTACCCCCCACAGGTTTAGCTCAGAGAGGCTGCAGCGGCGAGGCACAAAGCCCACGAAGTCACCAAACAAATTCTCCCAAGTAGAAACAGCGCTGGAATGGGAAGGGGGGGGTTGGGTTGATACAGTTAAGCAGTTCTTGCAGTGTTCTGCCCCAGTCCAGATAATCCTGTTAAAACTGTCTGAAGTGCAAGAAAATCAAAACAAAACAAACTTACATCTTCTGATTTGAAGACTTCAGCCCTTTCCACGTACACCAGCTGGCAAACATCCTCCTCTATAGAGTTGAACTGCCGGCCATTGCACGCCATATAAAAGCTATCTGCATCAGCCTATGCACAAAACAAAGGAAGCCAGTTAAAGAGAGAACACTCACAGCTGATATAACCGAGGAAGAGGAGCAGAAATCTGCTGTATCGTCTCTTCCCCCCTCCACCAAGCCCTGTAATACCCGAGGAGATATCTCAGACAGTCAGCTCCTGCCAGCAGGCAGTGCATCTTGGCACTGGCTTTAGCGCTACCACTTGCAGACAAGAAGTGGAGTTCAGAGCAGGGACAGCTACTCTGATATCTGAACATTCAGCAGGAATAACGGATTTCCCTTCAGCATCTGTCTTGGTCTTTGTCAGCAATTTCAGTGCATTTGCAAAGCAAATTGCAAACTGTAAAAATTGAGGAGGGCCACATTGCAGGACACTCGTGTCAGGGAAAGGAACAGTTTAACTGTGGGAAAGGATCCATTTCACCGGTCACAATTTGGGTATGCTCTGAACTGTGCCCAAGAGCCACTTGCGAAGGGCAGAGCCAAAACAAAACCTATCAAATACACCCTCCACTTTCACTCAGTAACCTCCCCAAACCCTTTCTCTCACAAACGATCGCACCGGAGTGAGGCAAATTAGCTGAATGCCACATTCCCGTATTCTCAGTCACTCCAGCCAGAAGCATAAAGGCCCCTGAGATCCGCTTCTGCTGCCTGCAGACACAGCTATTAGGGGGCACTGGGGAACAGGGCTTCAGGGAATTTCCTAAGAAACGGGAATTTCAGGGCGAATTGAGTACAAGTTTATAGATTTGCTGTAAGGCTGCTCAGCGCTAGATATTTGCCCATGTAATTTGATACAGTGATATACAAAATGTACCTTTACAACTACTGCAAATAGCCCAATACGCACACAAATACTGCATCTGCACAACAGGCAGGGGAAATACCTCATGCAGCATTCACAGCTGGGGGAAACCTCTCTCCCAGCTCCAAAATAAGCCATTTGCAGTTCAGAGAAAAGAAGGTACAAGTGAGAAGGCCCACAGAGGAATTGCAAGGAGGAATGCTTAAAACTATATAGTTCAAGACGACCTGTGAGGAGCAAACTGTTATCTGATTAGCAAGTCATCCCCTAGGCTCCCAGTTTTGTGGGCAACTGTCCTTTTTCCACTGTGCTGGCAGTGGCTGGGAGACCACCCAGCTCCTCAGAAAAGCAGAACAAGTCTTTCCTAAAATGCAAACGAAGCCCCACTGCCTGGGTCCTTTCTGTTCAGCACAGTACAACACACCACTCTTTTTTTGAACACGCTCCGAGATAGCACAGAATCCTGTATCCTTAATATATTTTTTAAATACCCTGCCAACAAGAACTGGGATAGCTAGAACATGGCAGACACTTGCCTCCAGGTCAAGGCGTGGGACTAATTCTAGTTAGCAGCCCCGGGAAAGCTCTGGGCAATAGGACAGGACTGTTTCTCTGAGGGTAAAGTGCCATCGTGGCTAACAGCTGGCCAGTGAAGCCAGACAACGCTCCTAAACAGCAGCTGTATGTGACAGCGCAGTCCCTTCTACAGCAAAGGGACTTCCAGCTCTTACCTGCGAGCTAAACTTTATCAGCACCATGTACTGGTTTGGAGTGGAATCTCGGATGATTTTCATGTGTTCAATTACTTCATAGAAAGAAGCCACAAATTTCATCAGGTCGTGGCTGGTCATCGTAGCAGGGACCGTGAGGATACACAGCATGGCGCTGCGCCTTACGTCTTCTTTTAAAGAGGTCATCTTGCTGATAAGACAACAGTGACACGACTTCATGTCATTTCAGAGAGGACAAAGGCAGTGCTGGATACATCACACTTCCAACAGCCGCAGTTACTCGAATAGCTTTGCTGTCAATCTCAACCCCCTTTTGCACATTTGTAAATATTAAGAAAGAAAAGCAAGGGGTTGTGGTAAGCGTCCAGGGTACCCACGTGAAACTATTACTCTTTGGCAAAGGCTTAAACTGGGCAGCTCCGATAAACAATGGTTTTGTCAGGAATAATTTGACATCTGTTTCTCTATAAAAACAGTTGACGTTGGGAAGCCACAGATGCTCAGAACTATTCCTAGAACAAGTGAGTAATGTTTGTTACTATTTCAAATACCCATTTTATGCCTCCCGATAGCTTTCAGGAAGACCCCATATGGAAGCTCTCATGCAATTATAGGGGATGGCATAGAACTGTAATCCCTGAAATACAGGATGAAACTTTTTGCCTCAGACACCTCCTCAGGCCTGCCGCCAAAACCCCAGCGATCACAATTTAATTGTGGGATCCCTTGAGAAACTGCTTTCAAACATTATTTTTTAGGATCCCACATTCATCTTACACTATTACAGCCCCTGGGACAAACCCTCTCCACCTGGAGCAGCACCACATGCAGCTGGAAGACCCAGGCCAGCCTCAAGTTCCACCACTCACAGCACCGTCTGCCCTCCCAGGTGCGAGTCACCCTTCCTGTTTGTCCCAGCTCAGGAGCCACAGCCCCGGGGTGACCGACTCACCCTTCCGGGTGGCGGCATTATTCAGAAGCACTGCTCCCACTAGAGCCACAATTAATCAAGCATTCTTACTTTGTTTTGTACAGATGCATAATGCCGTGAACGATTTCAACTGAGGGATTCCCGCTGAAGAAGGAAATCTGGTCAGGGAGCTGTTTTGAAGGCGAGTCTGGAGCAGCCTCGCGCTCTTTACTTTGATCGTCATGTTTATTTTTGTCCTCGGCAGATGCAGCCTCTGAAGATTTTCTTCCTTCCATGGCAGCTTTTGTTTCATCTTTTACAAATCAAAAGTTTACACGTTACTAATGGCGCATCAGAAAATGTCTGCTGTTCCCTAGGCACAGCCTGCATGTACACAACAGCACTCCAAAAAGTCAAATTACAACCCTGGAAAGTGGCAGACCGAGACACATCTCATCTTTGCTGTTCCCAGGGAAACTCCAGAGCTGCCAGACACCCGGTACCAGCCCCTGGCAGGACCCCAGTGCTGCGCATCAAGCTAGGCGAGTTCCATACTGTGCCTGGTGAAATCCCAACAGGCACCGGTACCAACACAAAGCAACTGGGACAGGTTTGCTGAGCAGGAGCGAGGAGCGGACTGCTCCTCCTGCGCTGCTTTGATGGCAGCCCAGAGGTTTGACAAGACCTGGTGTTTCCATCTTTAAACTTCCTCCCTACCTGGGAATTTAAACATCCGCAGAGCTGAACGGTCCCACTGCTACGAGCCAGCAATGTTTGCGAGCAAAACACTGACCAGCCCACAGCATAGCCTGAAATAAACTAACCCTTTATGAAGTGGGAATTGTTTGCCAGCAATAACCAGCTCTCCTGTCCAGACCCAACACGCATTCCTTAACTTCTCTACTTGTTTTCCAAACTGTACGACTGACTCGAGACCCGCAAACCCAGCAGCACCTCCACCACCACCAGACAGTTGCCACCGGCAGGGCCAGCAGCTGGGAAGCCAGGGAAGGGGCCACCACCCAAGCGGGGTGGGTGACAACCAGAGACCCAAAAACCGGCATTTCCACCCCCCTCCCCGAGGCCGGTACCTGGCCGCGGCTGGATGGTCTCAATGATCACGTCGGTCTTCTCCCTGCGGCCGAGGTGCTGGTGGAGGATGGCCGCCCGCTCCCCGGGGCCTTTCCCCTCCAAACACGACGGCACAGCAGCCGGGGCCGCCCCGGTGCTCTCCGCAGCCATCTCCGGAGCTGCGCAGGAAAAAGGAACCGTTGAGACGGGGTGGTGGGAGCGGAGCCCCGGTACCGGAACCCACCGAGAGGGTCCCCGGGAGACTTAAGGGCGCCGCGGACAGCGCACAGCTCCCTCCCCCGCCACGGCGGACGGAGCTGACCCGCACCGGGGCCCGGTTCCCCGGTGGGGTGGAAGCGGACCCGGCCCGGAGTGCCCCAGCAGCCCC